TCTATACCAGCATAGTAAGGAATTATAGTCACTGTGTGTAGATGTGTAACTGGCTGAAAAATGGCACCTAGGGAGTGATTTTCAAACCTTTCTCTATCAAACTAGGAGGGTATTTTGGGTAGGGCACCTCCACTATCTGCACTGCTCCAGGTTCTGGTTAATCTTTTTATTTGTGGCTGGATGAAGAAACTAAGCACACATACAAGAGTTCTTGGGTGACAGGCTGAAAAGAGTTGTGTGCACTTTGGAGGAAAAAATCAGAATTCATAACCATCCTGCTAAACTACAGTGAGTGTTTGAACCATGAGGATGAAATTAAATAAAGACAAGTGCCATGAATAGTAATTTCTTCGGAGGAAACCTGAAGTTCACTAATACAAATGGGAGAATAACCGGAGGAACAGCAGTACAGTAGGAGAGGTCCAGGGTCATCACGGCTCACAAACCGCATATGAGTCGACAAGATAATGCAGTTTGCACAAAAGGCAAATCTCATTCTGGGCTATATTAACAGCATGACAAGGGAAGTAATTATTTTGCTGTACTAAGCAGTGGTGAGACTTCAGCTGCTGTGCTATCCCTAGTCTGAGAACAAGCATTAAGGTAGATGTAAATAAATTGGACAATCTCTAAAGGTGAGAAAAAAGACAAGATATAGAAAGCACAGTTTATGTCAAAAGGCTGGGAGAATGTTATTTATCTAGTAAAAAGAAGATCAAGTGGAAACAATGATATATGAAATGGAATTAATTAGTTTAAAGAGGATGATGGCCATTTTTCTTCACATCCTGCGTGTGTTGTAAGAGGTGCTGACCTAATTCAAATCAAAATACTTCATGCAGAATTAGTAAGGCCCTGGAACAGATGCTTGGGTAAACTACTGGATATCCTGTGCTGGAAGGTTATAATAAGTAAATAAATAAATACATAAATAAAATCTTAAATATTGTCTAGATTTATTTTTTCATGCTTTGTAGAAAAGAGACAAGTGATCACTCAACATTCTGTCTTTCTTATATTTCTATGAAAATATTCCTTAAAATTTTTACAATGTGATATTTAATAAGTCCATATGTTTCAGTTTTTCCACCTGAAAGAGAGCATGAAAAATTTTTAATAGCACAAAGAAGGTTATTTTAAAATGATGTAAAATATGTAATTTAAGATGTCAGAATAGGATTATGTTTTAGAAAATTCCAGTCAAACAAACAAAACCTCTGAAGAATAAATTGTCTTTTCAAGTAGAAATGTCACATTTCCCCCCCAAAAAATTTTTACTTTTAATTTTTTAACAAAAAGTGGTCTTTTGTAGTAACAAAATTTTTCCTGAAACATTCGGTGGAGCTGAAAGTACATTTAAAAAAATACTTTTATCTGAAACAATTTTGAACAGTTGTGAAGCCATTGGTATTTGCAGCCATGATCCTGTGGGGCAATGATTTTGTCCTGTTCCCAACTTTACTGCCTTTGAATGAATATGATTTTTTGCTCTTCTCTCTGTTCTTTTCTCAAACTCTCTTTCTTAGATTGCTTTGCTTCTGCCTTATACCATCCCAAATTATTCTCCCTCTAAATGGCAAAGGGAAATTGAAGAAGACAAGTTCAGACAAGCAGATAACAAGAAATCAGGGAACACTTCCACAACGGTGTCTTTCTGAAGCCACTCAGAAATCTGTCCTTCACAAAACAATCAGTCGTTGTTGGCAGAAGTGATAGCATTGATCAGGTAGCCTTGTGCTCTAACGTATTGTTCAGAGGCTGTAACACTCACTCACTAGCACAGCTCTTATCGTTATCCCTGTGTTGGCATTTCCATTATACTCCTCCTCATGCATGAGCTAGAAACTATTTTACGTTGAACTTGAATCTTGCTTGCAATGCATATTCCTTCTGTGTTGGATTTAGCAGGGATGTTTCCAAACTGAGTCCGGGTACAAAATGGGCTCTCTTGCTCATTCACATTCCGGGTCAGACTACGTGTCCAAAAGACAGAGGTTATGGGGTTATTCACTAGCACACCTGCACCACACTGACAGCATCTGAAACTCTCTTGAGCACCTTCCCTCCTCCCCTATCTCCCAATTACACCTCTTCTGCTGAGACTGTGACATTCTCTCAGGAGTTAGGTTAATATATTAAGGATTCAAGTCACAGAAAATCAATGAAAGTAAGTTTAGGAAAGGTGGTTGCTAACCAAAGAAACTCAACTCTTTCTATGTTTGAGAGTAATTCAGAAACAACAGAATGGTTGAGGGTGGGGGAAAAAAAAAAACAAAACAAAAAACAACCTGAAAAAAAACCAAACAACCCAAACAGGGAAAGGACCAGAGACACTGTGCCTTTTGTCACAGTGTAATGGAGCCAGAAGACATGAGTTATAGTTTTACTTATAGTGCTAGGATAATTACCTAGCTTTTACATCTTTTACAATCTCACTACTGTCTTTATAAGCTCAAATGAATCGGTTCCCTCATCCACAGTAATTCCACAGTAAATTATTTGTGGTAGAGACCATTTTTCCAATATTCTATCACAGTCCCTGCTATAATGGCTCCAGGCTCATTATGAGCTCTTTAGGTGCTCCTGCAATATGAATAAATATCTTTGAATATATGAATATATTTTAATGTTCTTATAAATATATGAATAAAGCTTTATCCCATCAGAGTTACACTGGCTTGAAGTGGAGTAATGCATGAGTGACTCAATCAGAGACATTGCGAGCTCGTCTTAACAGCCTCTAATTTGTGTCAGCCCTGTGAGAGGCAGCATTATTGTTCTCATTTTTCCTGTGTTTCTTGTTACACTTGGAAGACCAAGGGGTAGATAAATACTGAGGGAAATCTCTAGGTTCACCAAAGTTATTCAAGGCAGAAAAAGCATTGAGCTCTTAATGCTGTCAATGTTTACTGCTGAACCCTCATTCTCTGGCATTGAATCTTCAATGGGAGGATGATAAGAGATGTGATGAGGAAAGTATTCCCCAAGCAGAAAATAAGTAAAAATATGCTAGTTAAACTTTCATCTGAACTCATGCTCTGACACTGTAGGGATTGAGTTTCTTGTGTGTGATCAACCACTAGCATGTTATAAATACTACTGAAAAGTAAATAATAACACCATGAGAGAAAAGCCTCCTGCAACCACCAACAGCTTTCAACTGTGTTTCAGCTATTGTCCAACAAGAAAAAAATTAGTGAAGTTAGTCCAGATGCTGGCAACATTTATCTGTGTAATTACATTCCTCTCTGACCAGCTCACTGTATTGGATCTGACTGAAGTGGAGTTAATTTTCACCATAGCAGCCCTCATAGTGCTGTGCTTTGTGTTGGTAGCTAGAAAGGTGTTGATAATACACCAGTGTTTTGGCTACTGCTGAGCAGTGTTCACACAGCATCAAGACTATCTCTCCAACATTCCCCCCTTGCCAGTAGGCTGGGGGTAGACAAGATCTTGGGAGGGCACATAGCCAGGACAGCTGGCCCGATCTGACCAAAGGGATATTCCATAACCTATGACATCCGCTCAACAATAAAAGCTGAGAGAAAGAAGGGGGAGCATTTGTTATTCTGACATTTGTCTTCTGAAGCATCCTCTATGTGTACTGAAGCTCTGCTTCCTGAGAAGTGGCTAAGCATCGCCTGCTGATAGGAAGTAGAGAATAAATCTTTTGTTTTCCTTTGCTTCTGTGTGTGGCTTTTGCTTTTGCTTTATTTAACCGCCTTTATCTTGACCCATGAGGTTTTTCCAACTTATTTTCTCCCCACCATGTCCTGCTGAGGTGGAGAGTGATAAAGCAAATTGGTGGATCCTGTCAAAGCCAACCCACCACAGTCTCTTTTGGTGCCCAATGTGGATGGAGCACGAGGAATTTAAGATAAGGACAGTGACTGTGAGAGATCACAAGCAAAACATGGAATGAATGATGTTAGAGAGCGGAATGATTGCAGAGAATTTCAGTTGTAATTGTCGTGAGGAGATGAGGGATGGATTGTTCATAAATTGTCCACTTTGGTGGTGTGATGACATTATTTTGATTTTTGGTGTAGGACTATTTATTTTGTTGATGTGAATGAAGTTTGTGAAGATTGTGTGATGAATGTGGATTTTAAAGATAATTCTTAAATACGTCATTCACAGAGGTAAGTGGTGGAATGATGAGTTTAACTCTGTGCTGCCAACTGGTCTTCCACTGCCGCAGCCACCCCCATAAGGCATTACCCACCATCCGGGAGTCATTATAGAGATAAAATACTGTCTACTTTTCTAATTCAGCAGTCTCTAGGGCTTGTTAGATGTCTTTCACTTCTGCAAATTGGTTTGACTCCTCTTCTTCAGTGGCTTCAACAAATCGCTTTGTGGGACTCTACATAGTCTTCCACTTCTGATGGTTTCTTGCTACATTACAGGATCCATCAGTAAGCAAAGCATAATGTCTTTCACCTTCCGATAACTCATTACATGGTGGTGCCTCTTGGGCATGAGCCAGATACTCAGGTAATGCTCTGAAATCTCTGCCTTCTGGCCAGTCCATGATCTCTTCCAGGATTCCTGGGCGGTTGGGTTTCCCCAGTTGAGCTCACTGCATGATCAGTGCTACCCATTTACTTCATGAACCGCTGGCTGTGTGATGTGTAGAGGGGATGTTTCCTTTGAACAGGCAGTGTAGCACAGGCAATGCCCAGATATGCTTCTGTACTAATGACTTCTGAAGTGGATTGAAGCCCCTCGTATACTGCTCGTATCTCTTTATCACTTGGGATGTGGTGGGCTTCTGATCTTCGACACCCCCAGCTCCAAAACACTAATGATTGACCTCAGGTTTCTCCTGATATTTTCTGTCAGAGGCTCCAGGTGAGTCCATGCTCCCCAGCTGCAGTGTAGAATACATTTACACAGCTTGTCCTGTCCAGATGGGCCCCAGAGCTACCGCATGAGCTATTTCCTGTTGGATATGCTCAGAGCTTTGTTGCTCAAGGTCCCACACAAAATAGTTCTTTTGTGTTACTTGATAGAGAGGGCTCACAAAGTGACTATAACATGGAATATGTATTCTCCAGAATCCCACAAGGCCTAGGAAAGCTTGTGTTTTCTTTCATGTTAGCTGGTGGAGACACAGTTGCTATCTTGTTGATCACATCCATAGGCACACGGTGGAGTCCATCCTGTTATTTTATTCTCAAGAACTGACTCTACTGTGCAGGCCCTTTGACCTTGCCTTTTATATGGTTAAATCAGCTTTCAGAAGAATCTGAATTACTCTTTTTCCCTTCTTAAACACTTCTGCCTTGTTGCCCCTCATGATGATGCCATTAATGTATTGTGGATATTAAGGGACATTGTCCTTTTCCAGTACAGTTTGGATTAGTCCATGACAAGTGGTAAGACTGTGCTTCCACACCTGGGGCAGTTGATTCCAGGTGTACTGCACACCCCTCCAAGTGAAAGTAAACCATGGCGTGCACTCTGCTGACAAAGGAATTGAAAAAAACACACTGACAATGTCAACTGTAGCATACCATGGTGTTGCGATCAGTTCATCACACCCTGTGTCTGCCACTTCCCCCTCAGGACGAGGACTCCTCACACTCTTCCCCTATTCCAGTGTGGGGTCCTTCCCGTGGGAAACAATCCCGACAAACTTCTCCAACGTGAGTCCTTCCCGGGGGCTGCAGCTCTTCATGAACTGCCCCGGCCTGGGTCCCTCCCAGGGGTGCAGCCCTTCGGGCACAGCCTGCTCCAGCGTGGGTCCCCCGCGGGGTCACAAGTCCTGCCAGAAACCTGCTCCGGCGTGGGCTCCTCTCCCCACGGGGCCACAGGTGCTGCCAGGAGCCTGCTCCAGCGTGGGCTTCCCACAGCCACAGCCTCCTTGGGGCACCCCCTGCTCCAGCGTGGGGCCCTCCCCGGGCTGCAGGTGGAGATCTGCTCCTCCGTTCCCCTCCCTGGGCGCAGGGCACAGCTGCCTCCCCACGGGCTGCCCACGGGCTGGGGGGAACCTCTGCTCCGGGCCTGGAGCACCTCCTGCCCTCCTGCTTCACTCACCTTGGTGTTTGCAGAGTTGTTTTTCTCACATATTTTCACCCCTCTCTCTGGCTGCAATTGCTGGTGCGCAGCAATGTTTTCCCCTTCTTAAACGTGTTATCCCAGAGGATCCACCACTGTTGCTGACAGTCTTGGTCTTGGCCAGTGGTGGATCTGTCTTGCAACCGGCTGGCATTGGCTCTAAATGCGTGAGGATACATCCCACTTGCTTAGCACCTTGAAAGGATTACATCAGCACTGAGAGTCTACCCTAAAGGACAATTTATGCACAGCTCCTATTTAGGTTGCATCCCAATATGAAACTTATCCAGAAAAGTACCCATTTAAATCCATTATTGTTCAGGTAATCTTTTAAACTTGTTCTTACTTTAAATAGGTGCTTAAATCTCATTGATCTCAAGGGAATTTATACAGATACTTAAATGAAACATGGTACAAAAGGTGAATTCTTGAATATAGGGAGCTATTTTGTAAAATAGACCTGGCTCAATTGCCATGCTGAGCCTCTGAAGACAGATTTTAGCAACAGGTAAATAACTTCGATGTTTCAGCCAAAAGGTCTTGTTCTTGTATAATTATCTCTCAGCAGACTAAGGTTCTATGAAAGCTGTTTCCTGATTTTTGAAAAGGTAATTTGCCATTTGTTTTCATGATAGTGCTGTCCTGCCAATCTGCACATATTTTATGTTTTTACCACATTTGCATTTCCACATATCTGATATAGGTAAAAATATTAATTCTGCTGGTTGACTGATTAAGAATTTTAAAGCATAGACCTTTTCCATGAAAAATCGTTCCTGACCTCTATTCATTTTGAGAGACAATTCAGGTTTTAAGCCATGGCTGCTGCTAGCTGAGAGCATAGATTCTTGTTATTACTGATTTTAATAGATTCATGAAAACTTCAGCTACTCAACAATATTGCAAAAAATTATTCAAAACTTAAGTCTACTGAAAAACAAAGAGTTTTATCCAGCTGCAAAAGAGCCGTCTGATGGCATTCATTCTCTTTAAATAGCAGGTTTTAGCCTTTTAACAGTTTTATGCTGTAAAGAATGATAAAAATCCTAATAAATTAGTTCTCCTGGACTAGTTTTAATACCAGATAATCATGTATGATTAAGATGATAGATAGCATTTATCACCATAGTAGCTGGTGACAGTAGCTCTTACTGTATTCTGCATTTCTAATATCTATCAAATACTTAGAAAATATGATGAGACAAATAATGTATCATTACACATATTAGAACTTTAGAAGGGTGCTCAACAGCGTTATATTTCTCATGTCTCCAACACATGTGACTTATTTTCATGACTCATGTTTGATATTTTCTGAAAGCCTGACTTTTTAGAGACTTGGATTCTAAGACACTGTAATTTTTTTATACCAGAAAGCAAAGAAGCAGAAGGGTAAAGAAAACCTTAGACACATGAACTTCATGATAAAAAAGCAAAAGTAATTTTTTTTTTTTTTATTATTATGAATGAATATATATTTTTCCTAGAAATTAATGGTTTTGCGGCTTTAATAAGGTCATTAATATCCTTGATTTTTGCAATAGCATGCAAAAACAACCACCAACAAATATTACTTATTTATTCATGTGTAACATCCCATGTATTTTCCAGGTAAACACCATTTGGCCAGTGTGTGTATGCTGTAGGATGACTGAAGAAACGTTGTTTTTCTAAGTGCATATCTTTCATCTATTCAATTTTAGCCAGGTTTTGGGTAAATGCTGCATTGCAGTACACTACCAGGGCTCAAAATCTATAGAATGAAAAGACTGCTTTTAGTATTTCAGTCTATGCTGCTGTTGGGGGGTGGGGGGAGGAAGGGGGAGATGTTAAAATACTTTAGAGACAGAGAAAAGTGTTTGAGGTGATCAATTTTTTTGCTTATATTAAAAATCAAAAGAAAATTCTAGCAACTGCATCAAAGCTGCTAACAGCCACTGTTAGTTTTCTGTCTTACATTCACTGGACTTTTCCTCCAGAGTTTAATTACAGTTATTCACTTAATTAAAGAAACCCTAGTATATATCTCATGACACTCAACAGAACCCTCACATCTTTGTGGTTGATGAGAAAGGTCTAGACAATGGCCATTTATTGTCATATATTTTTACACAAAGCACTGAAATGAATTCTTCCAGAGTTGGGTTGAGCTGGTACAAAAGTTCCACAGTTGGTCTCTTGAGACAGACACACTAGTATAGATAACTTCATGCCAGTTTTAATCTTAACTATCTCTTTAGACAGTAAACATGATAAGCACCGCAGCACAGACATCAGTGCAGCCAACAAAAATGCTGCCCAAGGAGTACTGAACATGCTCATGAAGCTATTCCGTGTGCACCTGCACGCTGACACAGCTGGCTTGCCAAAGACATGTTTAGGACGGTTTGCCGTGTGTGGCTCCTGCAATATGGATATATAAAAACTGAGGCACACACCTGTGCCATGAGAACAACTGTGTTATCTACCACGTGTGTCTGACTGGGGAATCCAACAAGCATCCCAGATACATAATTATCATTTAAAGTTTAAAACAACAAAAACCACCCCAGACCCTACCCAAGGATTCTGAGGAAGGCAATCAAGTTGAAGGTTATTTCTCAGATAACCTGTGGTTTAGACTGATGAATCTTGCTGAGGCCTTTATTCAAAGGTGAGAAAAATTGCATGGTTAACTGATAACTCAACCAGCATGCTTCTCTGCAAATAGTATGTCTTTGCTAATGAATGAGGATAACCAAGTTCCCATGGTCAGAATACTGCTGTATCCCTCTCCTCTTCGTTGCATGCTGTGGAGGATGGCATAGGGACACACACGCAAGCCAGAGAAGAGCATCTAGATCCATGACCAGGAGCAGAATAGCCAGGTAGTCATAAAACTATGACCATACTGATGAGCTCTGATGCGTGTCAGAGGCTTAGGTTCAGGATCATACTTGTATGACAAACTGCTTTCAAGTCTGAGTTGGCTTCTGCTCATGTGGAGGCACTAGCTGGTTTTGGGAGCTCTGCAGTGTACTCTGTTTCTTGGATTCACGTTTCCTGAGCACACATCAACAGGCTTTAAGTTTTGCTCCTCTGCCTGTCTGAGAGTGGAATACCGTGAGTCCCCCTATTCTGAACTGAACTCAAGGCTGTTTCCAGTTTCAGTAAGGTATGGATACATAAGGCTGCAGTTCTCTGGAAAAAAAGCAATCAGCAGCTTTCATTGGCAAGCACCTATAACAGAGTATTTATGGAGATTTAAACTGAAATCATTCTTGGTTAAGGAAACTGCAGATTCAGTTCACCAGTAAACTCTGGATTACCAGTCTCAGTTTCTCTCTTTCTAATTCCATCAGTTCGAGAGGTTACCTCTGAGTTGCCTCCCCTGTATTTGCAAGAAACTAAATTCCTTACTTTTTCCTGAAATATTTTATGGGAAGCAGAAGATACCTTTTCTTCCTGCACCCACGTATCAGGGGACTCAGAAAAAAAGATCAAAGACTAAACTAAGTTTCGTGGTAGACAGCTCACTACTTGCATATGCCATACCCTTTTCTGTTATATGCATTTTAACAAGCTTACACAGAAATATTTCAACTTACACATTCAGTCACTACGTTTAAAATTCTTAGTACAAGGACACAGAGCATGCAACTTTAATGAGTTGTTGCATATGTCCAAAGATATTAAAGTACTTTTATTGCTTTTGAGTCTTATGATTCAGTCTAGAATTTAATTGGGTGCAACAGGAGAATAAGTGGTGAAGTTTATTAAGGTGGAAGAAGTAACCTGCTGTTTTAGGGTAAGTCACTGTGTCAAAGTGCTGCTGCTCAGAGAAGAAGAGCAGAGCCTGTCTGCCTGCCAAGCAGCCCTGGCTGCTCATGGCAGCGTATGCTCACGGCAGTTGTGCTAATGCTGTGACATATGAGGGTCTTGGGAAGAGACCACTGACATTACCATCCTGCCCACTCCCTTCCATGAATCAAGGACAAAAGATACATGAATCTAATGGCCATTGCATCTACTGGCTAGTTTCAGCCCCCTTGAAAGACAGTTTCATCTGTCATCCCCATTCAGATATATAACGTTGCCTGTATCTCCCTAC